ATACCCTAGTTCTTGTATGTTACAGGATAAGGAAAAAATGTTAGGCTTTTCTGCCCTCCCGCCATCAGGATAGATGATGGATCCTTGCGGTCCTGAATGCATGTCTGATGGCGGGCACCTGGAGTAGGGTGTGGGCATAGGTAGATGGGATTCACCTGGGCTAAGACTGCACTTTTAAGGGAGGCGTCACGGGGACGCCAGTAGAAGCCGAAGGAGAAGCCAAGGGAAGCAGCAGAAGCCCAGAGAGAAGCAGAGAATGCCGATAGATAGAGTGAGCCCAAATAGAGTGAAGACTTGCTGGGGGCTGGGAGGCCTGCCAGCCTCCCGGGCCCCCCAGTACCCCTGCCTGCCATGTACCTGCTAAATCCCAATTAAAGAGCTGCAAAAAACCACTGAGGACTCTGACTCCTCCTTTACCCAGTCTGCTGGATCAGAAAACCTGCTCAGTGTCATTCCTGCCCTTACATATGTATAAATAAATCTTTAAAAAAAAAACTAACCCCAAAGTTTATATATTTCTATTAGTACATCCACTTTGGATAACTGACAATTTCTCGTAAAGTTGAATATGCATTTATTGTATGACAGCATTACCACTACTGTGTGTTTCAAGAGAAAGAAAATATATCTTTATACAAAACTTTTATAATAATGTTTATATCAGCTTTCGTCAATTTTCAAAACCTGGAAATGATCAATCGCCCATCAAAGGGTGAATACATAAATAAAATTTGGTGTATCCAAACAACTGTATATCACCAGCAGTTAGAAACAAACAAACAAACAAAAATCAGTTGGTAAACACAAAGGGGTGAATATCAAAAACAGTATGCGGAGTGAAAGCCAGACTCAAAAGAGGACATTCTAGAACAGGCAAAACTATTATGTGATCACGGATCTGGGGGTGGGAGCTCTAGCAGGAAGGGGCACAAGGGCACAGCACAGGATGATATAGGTGTTAGGAATTGTCTCAATTGGCCATTTAAGTTTAATAGGAAAAGACTGGTTAATGATAACAATGTGTTATAAAACCTTCACTAGGAAAGGAGAATGTGTGGGGGACTGTAGGGGAAGGGGAAGAGGAGCAGTTTTAAGTTACTAGCTTTTAAAATCAATACTTTTTAATGAAAACAACTTGGTCAAAAATCTGTCACAGAATTTTGAGACCCACTAAAAGTTTAATGAGGAAAAAAATGTCTTGTTAAGGGTGGTGGTTTCATAGATAGGCATTTATTATAATCTAATCATATACTTAAAATGGGTAATTTTATTGTGTGTAAATTAATTTTAAAGAAAAAGCAAGCCACTTACCAAAGCAAACAAAACAGGAAACTAACTCCAAAATTAAGAAAAGCCACTTCAATATAGCAAAACAGAACAAAAAACCAGTGTTTGGTAACCCTCTTGTGATACTGTAGGTTCCTGTGGGGTATTGTCTTTGTGCATGATAGCACTGTTCAACTTTGGAGTGACATTGAACATGACGCATGACTGTTTAGCGTGTGCACTCAGCAAACTCAGGGGCAGGACGTAAACATGCTGCAATTCCAAATTTGACTTCCAAATGTGGTAGCCTTTTTCTTCATTCAAAATAGTTTGTCCTTTCATTTGGTAAAATGCCTAGTTGCATGTTTTCAAGAAAACTTATCAATGCGAATTTCAAGTATTGGAATAACTTTTTCCCAATAAATTTTTGTTTAAAATTGTTAAGAGATATGTGATTTATGTGATCATGCTTCCCTATTTATATTGAATGTCAGAAAGCTTATGGTCTAATTATGGCCTATTCCTTGCAAAATATAAGGCCATATGATATGTTCTTGGGAACTAATCTTATTCCTGATTTTATAATTTTTGCTCCTGTGATTATTTTCCATTCCTCCTGATTTTCTTACTTAATCGGTTTTTCAGCAACTTTTATATATTTTTCAAATGCACATTTTATTAGGTTATATATAAATAAAGTAATATAGATGATGCATATAGAACACTATCCTGACTTTTTCAGTTGTGTGTATTAATAAACAATTGCTAATAAAACTTCTCTCTTTTCCAAGATTCTGTGTTTTATTTTTTAAGGAAATATGGATGGACACAAGGAACAAAATTTGAGAAGCAAAAATAATCGTTGTGGAACCTCACCCAACTGTATGAGGTAATGAAGGATTAGAGATATCGTGTGTCTGTCATACATGATTCATGTGACCTCTGTTGGCATCTATACACTTTAGTTTTACTTTAAAAGTGTCTTCATAGCCCCTAACATTTTCCTTAACACAAAATGAAAAAAATTGCCTATTTGAGGACATACACACTCAAAAGATAGTAAATGCTCTATAAATCATTAATATTTTAAATCAAATGTAGATTGAATATTTCATTGCACTATAAAGAGAGGAAGATAATAAATGGAGGAAAACATGTTTACCAAATGTAATAGTTATAAGTAGCTAATAACTAATAGATAAGGAACTCACACGAACATGTTAGGAATAAATAACTGTAGTTCAACTGATGAATGGACAATGCATATGAATAAAAAATAAAATTTCAAAGTAGGCACATATATAAAAGTGTTTATTGTACTCAATGTTGGTGGCATTCTGTTTTCAAGGAAATATAGTAATATATACAAGGACCTTGAATACATGTTTATAACTTTTGATATATTTATCCCAACCCAAGAGTTAATCTTATGGAAATAATTTAAAGGAAAGGAAACATATGTATATATATATACATATACATATGTATATACATACATACACAAGTTTATTCATCATGTGTCACTAAAATATTAAAAATTGAAATGATCTAGCTAACCAATGATAGAACATAGTAAATCATACTTATGAAATTATTAAAAAGACTGCTTAATTAGGTAATTTTAAGTGAAATCAATAAAATTTCATTCACTATGATTACAGTTGGTAAAATTCTTTTTTTAAAAAGATTTTATTTATTTATTTACACAAGAACCGGGGTACAGGCCAGATGTGTGGGAGGGTGAGAGGATTCACCAGAGACAGAGTGGGGAGCAGAACAGGCAGACTGATGAAATACACTGATGAGGGGAGCAGCGGGTATGACAGGAGAGGACTGCAGCACCATGTGGGACCCTCGCTGGATGGCCAGGATTGAACCGGAGCTGCAGAAGCTGCAGACAGCTTCACAGGGCTGCGCTCAAACTGCCTTCACCACCAGGGGAGGCCCTGGTAAAATCCTTATATGTTAAAAAAAGCATAAAGAAACATGGAAAAACTTGATATATTAGATTATGGATTTTGCAGTTAATTGAGCCATTAAATACTCTTTGACACTTTACCTACCTTGAGTTGGGTTTCTATAGCAAAACTAGATGACTCTTGACCAGTGCATGAGATGAAAGTTTCCATAGAATGATTACCTAGTGGTAGGATTTCAGGGGAGGTAGGGGAACTTCAGTGTCTGCCTGATTGAGCTTCTACAACACCCATGAGAAGCTTGCATATTGATAATACAGTCTTTCTAGGGATATAATATGGAATTCTGGTTGCTATACCCCAAGAGCACTGGGGGAAAAAAAAGCTCAAAGAAAGCTGAAATCAAGGAAACACATTTACTCCACCCTCAGACAAAATGTGGCTCTTTGGTGATTTTTTTTTTTTTTTATGCTTAAAGTGGCCCTTCAGATTTACTTTTATCAGAATATAAATCTGGGGGGCCTCCCCTGGTGGTACAATGGTTGAGCGCTGGGCTGCGAAGCTGCCCACAGCCTCTGCAGCGCCAGTTCGATCCCTGGCCACGAGTGAGGGTCCCACGTGGTGCAGAGACCTCTCCTGCCGCACCCACTGCTCCCTTCAGCAGTGTATTTCATTGGTCTGCCTGTTCTGTTCCCTGCTCTGGCTCTGGTGAATCCGCTCATCCTCCCGTGCTTCTGACTGTACCCAGTGCTTGTATAAATAAACAGATAAATCTTTAAAAAAAAAAAAGAATATAAATTTGGGGACACAGTAGGTCAACATCTTATCATTTTCCCTGTGGCCAGCTCCTTTTTAGGGACAACACTATAAAATCACTAAAATCTATGCACTGAGGACTGCTTTTCTTCTTTATCCTCTTCCCTTTACTCTTCTTGCATTATCCTGTAAAGTCCCAATTATACTAAAATAAGCTCTTGGCTTGCCTGCAAATCCAACGGTCATTTACAGAACACGTATTCTATAAAAACCACATATTCTTTTAGGGTGTGGTGAGAGGGATAAACCACAGCTCACATGACAATTTTTAGTTCATAGTTCAGTGCACTCACAGCAGCTGCCTAGTTTATGACATAACAGAACACAGCAATTCCAAGACTAAATCTCCTAAATGCTCATCCCAGAGGAGGTCATCTTCTTTTTTTTTAGTAAGTCATTCATAAGTCAAGCATTTGAAATTCCATGAGAATATGAGGGGTGATTATGACTAACTTTTTATTTTTTGAATCTCAGTGTCATTTCATCATATGTATCAAAAGCTGTGGAAAAATAGCCAGAGGTTTTAGTAACCAGCTAATCTATTTTTCACTATCCATTCTTATAAGGTCACTTCCTCTAGTGACAAAATATACTTTTTAAACAGAAAATTCATCCCTCTCCAGAGGCAAATTAATGCAAAATTCTTGATTAGAAATAAAAATACAGGGGCCTCCCTGGTGGCGCAAGGGGTTAAGCACAGACTTATGAAGTTGTCCGGAAGCCTCTGCAGCAGGAGTTCAATCCCGAGCCGGCCAGGGAGCAACTCCCATGGTGCAGCAGACCTCTCCTGACTCTCCCACTGCTCCCCTCTGCAGTGATTTTCAGTCAATCTGCCTGTTCTGCTCCCCACTCTATCTCTGATGAATCCTCTCACCTTCCCACACCTCTGGCCTATACCCCAGTTCTTGTATGCATAAATAATCTTAAAAAAAAAAGAAATAAAAATACAAGTATATGAAAATGTAAAATACTCATAGATCAAAAGTACAATGGTTTAAGCAACTCCTTTATTTCACTGGGGTCATTTTGTTCTGGAAGGTACAATTTTCTTCTCCCATCCTTTTTAGTACATTGTAAATAATTTCAGGACCTACATTTTTGTCAAAGGGTGTCATATAGACTATAATATAAGAAGCATGATAATCTCAAATTATCTTAAATGCTGGGTGGGATTCTCCTCCCTCTTTAAATAAGAATTTATGAATAATAGAAAAACTACCAAATCCATTTATCCCTTATGAAATAAACATCAAGTTTTACCTTGAGAAAAATATATTATGGGAGATTTTTCCAGCAGGACTGGATAATAAAGAAGGAAGGAAATAAAAAAATGAAACTCACATGAGTTGAATAAAAAGGACCATAAAAGGTGAAGAGTTGTAGCATCTAAGCAGTTGAATTTGCTTGGGAACTTTCAGAGACTATTGTTTCCTCAGTAAATACAGATGGCTCTAGCAGCCTGAAGTGTTCATTTAGGGCTGGAAATGCCCTGAGCATGTTATACATCCTTAAATTCAGCCTCAGTGGGGCCATTGACGGTGACCGCGCCTTCATTCTCCTAGCAGATGATGCCATCAACCTCAGCATTTTGGAAGCTTCACTCTGGAAGATTTTTGTTCTGACAGTGTGGAGGATAAAAATTTGCAATCCCTGACACAGACAGAATAAAAATGTAGTATTAGATAAGTGTTGCATTACAGAATCAGACAAGAGATTTTATTTCACCCTGCCTCTCATCATGCACAGTCACTCCTGCAATTGAACGTGCCACTCAGTAGCTGCTGTGCACTTTTTTGTCTAACAGAGTTGAGGCAATGTTCTTCTCATATTTAAGTGCTGCGTACAGGTAACAGATTTAGAAGAACTGAGTTTAGGTCCCAGTTTTCCATAAGTTGGCTATGGAACTGAGAGATATTTTTTTTTTCCCTACCAATTCTGACAGCAATCAGGTGTCTAACAATTCAATGCTACAGTAAATACCTGGAGTTAGTGTCAGAACCCACCAGTTAGTGTCACAGTTCCACAAAACAGTCCTCACTTCCAATCACAAGTACTGGGTTTCCAATTTACTCAAACTTCTTATGGAGTTGGCTATAAAGTGAGAGTTTCCCACAACCTGTCTCCCCCTTCAGGCTTAATCATTTCCTAGAACAACTCACATAACTCTTATGATCACCTGTTTATTATAAAAGATATAATTCAGGTTGTAATAGCTAGACAAGAGAGATCATAGAGCAAGGAATAAATTGAAAAAGCAACCTATGGAATGTATAACACACAGGGATGAATATTCTCAGCCTTGAAAAGGGAAATTCTTCCATCTGTGACAACATGCTTGAAACTTGAGAACATTATGCTAATTGAAATAAGCCACACAGAGAAAGACAAATACAGTATGGTATCACTTGTATGTGATTTTTTTTTTAAAAAAGTCAACTTTAGGGCCTCCCCAGTGGCGCAGCGGTTGAGCGCTGGGTTGCGAAGCTGCCCACGGCCTCTGCGGCGCCGGTTCGATCCCCGGCTGCTCCCCGGCCACCGGAGGAGGGTCCCACATGGCGCGCAGACCTCTCCTGCCGCCCGCTGCTCCCCTCAGCAGTGTACTTCGGTCCTTCTGCCTGCTCTGCTCCCCGCTCTGGCTTTGGTGAATTCTCTCACCCTCCCGCGCTTCTGACTGTTACCCAGTGCTTGTATAAATAAATAAATAAATAAATCTTTAAAAAAAAAAAAAAAAAATGTTTAAAAAAGTCAACTTTATAGAAACAGAGAATAGTGGTGGTTTCCAGGGGCTGGGAGTGAGGCATAGGGTAAATATAGGTTAAAAAAAAAAAACAATTTTCCATTACAACAAGTTACTGAGTAGTTATGTATTATCACATACAAAAAATGTTAACTATGTGAGGTGATGAACATGTTAATTACTTTTTTTTGATAATCGTATTATAATGATTCACATCATGATAGAAAATCATGTCATATATTTAAAATATATACAATAATATTTGTCAATTATTCCCAATTATTACTCAATAAAGTCTTATAAAAGATGGGGTAAATAACACAAAATTTTAAAAAGAGAAAGAAAAATATTAGTCAATCCATAGTGGTCCCAGCCCTAGCAGTAACTACATCATCATAATATATACCAAGCGTGGTGAGGAGCTGCCATGGACCTACTACATGGGAGAAAAGGAAAGGTATTTCCCAAGTTAGTGGCTTTAACAAAATCGCATCTGCTCAATGGAAGAGAAATAGTGTGGCCCAATTCTACTGCAATTATACTCTAGGATCTCCAGTCCTAGGATATAAAAATACATAGCAGGAATTCATAAAGCTTTTCTTTATGTACCCTCAAAGTATATTACAAAGAGTATCTTAAAGGCAATCAAGCAACTATTTTCAGGAAACTTTAAAAACAGAAAACTTTGGCGCAGTGTATTATCTCCATCACTGCACAGTCTGCTACTTTCGACTAATGCATACCATACCTGAGTACTATTGAAAAGGCAGAATATGTAGCTGAATTCTATTCTATCCCCATTATCAATCATCATTAAATATGCCAGAATCCAGGTAATTCCAAAAACGACTGCAATAGATAATGTGCTAAAGATCTTCCGGAGGAATGAAGACTTTTTTGTACTAGATAGAGAAAGCAAGAAAGAAAATATGGTTTATTCAGGTTTTTGGTTTATTAACATCACTGTTACTCTCCTCCTCCCCCACATTGAGAATACTTTGCCTCAGGTGAAAAAAATTATGCTAGACCTATGTCATTCTGAATAAAATCTTATTTTGCAAGCTTCATCAAGAAATATAGTGATACTTGCTTTAAAGCTCAAGCATAAACAGTTTCCTAAATAATGTTGCAGGCAAATTTCACAAAGAATCAACTCTTTCTTTGGAATGGCATTTTATCTTAGTGATTTTTATTACTGTATCAGTCAGTAAGAAATTAATTTTGGAGTCAACTATGACCTCCCATGCCATAGGTGGATATGGGAATGAAAGGTTTTCAAATGCAGAGAATCTTGGCTTTTCTATATGACTTTCTTTGAGCAATGGGACAGTAATAACTGCACAAGCAGAAGCTCAAAAGCATTTTTGTTTTTCACAGATTGCCCTCTCTTATTGCTCTTTGAAAGTTAGATAAGCCTGGGCTGGCTTAGTGGAGGAGGGGCATCCACATGGTGCAGAGAAGAGCTTACCCACTGAACAGCTCCTACTGAAAACTAACCTCCAGACTTTACATCATCCATCCACATTTAAGCCAGTACAACCAACTGACCAACAGTGAAATTCATAACCAATATTAAATATTTTTGCTTAACTTTTGTTGTGCAGCAAAAAGAAAAAAATAACTGACACATTCAAGATAATTTGTTAAACAATTAAATTATAACCTGTTTTTCATTATAATTAAGTCAATTTAAAACTACAAGCTATCAGAAATAAAATCAGAAACGTAAATTTGGTTGATATCTATGGCCAAAACGATATTGTTTTATGTAAAGGAAATATAAGCTAATTTGCAACTAAGCTAAGAAAACTTCACCAAGATTTTTCTGTGTTTCTAATAAAACATAGGTTTAAATGATTATCACTGATCCCTCAATATGAACTGTTATTCATATAGGAAAGATGACAGATGACACTTAATTTTGATTGTTAAAGTACATATTTAAGATTCATTCCAACTAATGACTGTTTTCAACCATTTGTTTATACCAAGTGGATCCATTTGATGATGAACAAAGCTTGTACATGTGCTTATAATTAATCGAGTTAGGTTAAGCAGACTTTTGTAGAATTAAATATGAATTCCAATCACATTAGCACTATAATTCTAAGCACTTCATGCTGTGAAATGGTAGAAGGAGTATATTAGTTTAATAATTTTTGTTCTTTATCTCTCCAATTGAAAGCTCTTACTATATGTCAAGAATGATGATAAATATACTAACTGGAATGAGACAAGTTATAAAAGGAATAGAAGCAATCCACACTAGAACTGATAACCAGAGAGCACATGCCATATCTGTAAGTAATGTTGCATCGATGTAGCCAGATCGTCTAGCTTTTTAAAAAGAAAATATAAATTTAAGCAAAACCTCCTGATTTTTAAGTTTGCAACAAATTTAAAAAATTTAAAGTCATTATGTGATTCAAGTGTAAGTGTAAAATATGGCCTAAAGCTACTAGCTTATAAAAAATTTTTAAAATACCATTACCAGCATCTTCTCACATATTCTCATTTGTTTAATTATTCAAAGCCCGTCTCTTGAATGTTGGATATGAAGGAAAACTTTTTTTCTTGAAGTAGGTTTAGTTTTCAGTTGGGCTTATCTAGTACAAAAGTGTATTATATAGTTCAGTAGGCGTGTATTGTAGTACAGATGCTGGAAGGTGAGACAATTTCTGAGATAAAGTTTATGTTCTGCAAACCACATATCCCTGATATTATCCAGAATCTGAAAACTCTTATAGGAACTGTGGATGTATTATTCTGCTCTTTTGTACTAGAAGAGCCATTCCTGATAGTTCCTCTGTCAGGAAACTGGGAATCTTACCTCGTCAGATTCTGGTTATTCTTCCATAGCACTTTGACTGTGATGATAATAAATATAGTAATATTGCTAATAAGGATAATGGTCACAGGTATGAGAAATGACCACAAAAATGGACCTTCTAGAAGATGGTTAGTTTCCAGCCAGCAGCTATGGAGAGAAAAGAAATGATTTCACCAGACTGAGGTATACAAACTGGTTCTCTATGCCATTAACATTATTGACATTCACTTAACGGAAAGACCTACTAAAAATCAGTATCCTTTTGTATTCTATATATTTGAGATGACTTTCAAGAATTCAGCTCACTCGAAAAATATAATGTGCTGGTTGTGCCATATTTCTCTGTCAAACAGTGGGGGTTAGTGAAAAGTAAAAAGGGTTTTGAGTGAAACAGTCCTGAATTTATAATAAATATCACACTCTGTCACTTACTAGGTATCTGATTCTACACAATTTTTAATACACATAGTACATCCATATAGCTCCAAATTTAAAAGGAACAAAATATAATAGAGAACAAAGATCCCCAGGAAAAAGACAAAACTTGCAAGCTGACCATAGATCTGAGATGTACAGCAGGGGAGGTGAGGGGAGAAGGGTCAAAACAGATGAGGGAAGAACACAAGGGACCATGTGATAGAAATGGGTGCTATGATGGTGAGAAAACTATGGGGACTACCCCTGAGGGGAGAAATCAAATACTGTACAAAAATTAACAACAATGTAAGAAAATAAATATAAAAATAAATTAATGCAATGCCTAACTCAGAAAAAACAAGAGAGTCAAGATTCTCTCCTATATTATTCCTAGTCACATAGTTTCTATCTCCAATGGTAATCACTGTTTCCCATGAATTACTCCAGATTTAAGTTATGCATGCATCAGCAAATGTACATTTTTTCCTGATTTAATCAAATGATAGCATATGATGATCGGTCTACACCTCATTTAATAACATGTCTTAGAGATCCTTCCATTTCAGAATATAAGGACTGTTCTCAATATTTTCACAGCTGCACATTATTTTGTTATATATGTATTATTTAAGAAGTCCCTTATTAAGGAACATTTTTAAAAGTTTAATATTTAACAGATATATAGACAAATGGAATGGAATTGTGAGGCCAGAAATAAACCCACATATATATGGATAGTTAATCAATAACAAAGGTGTGAAAAACATACACTGGAACAAGGATAAACTCTTCAGTAAGTGGTGTTGGGAGAACTGGACAGCTGCATGCAAAAGAATGAAACTAGACAATGATCTCACACCATACTCCAAAATGATCAAAAACTTGAACATAAAACCTGAAACCATAAAATACATCGAAGAAAACATAGGCAAAACAAGACATAAGCTATAATGATGCCTTTAGGGATTCATCCCAACAACAAGGAAAACAAAAGAACACATAAACAACTGGGACTACATCAAACTAAAAAGCTTCTGTACAGTGAAAGAAACCACAACTAAAATGAAAAGACACCCTAACTGAGTGGAAGAAAACATTTGCACACCATACATCTGACAAAGGACTGATATCAAAGTATACAAAGAACTCATAAAACCAAATAAATAACCCAATTTAAAAATGTGCAAAATAACTGAACAGACACTTCTCCAAAGATGCTCAAATGGTCAACAAGCACATGAAGAAAATGTTCACAATCACTTATTAGAGAAATGCAGATGAAGACTACAATGAGATACCATCACACCTGTGAGAATGGAACCTATTAAAAAGACCAGAAACAGCACAGCAAAAGAGACAATAATCAAAACAAAGAGAAACCCCACTGATTGGGAGAAAATTTTTGCACACAACACTAATGATAAAGGACTGATCACAAAAATCTACAAAGAGCTGATGAGACTCAACAAAAACAAAGAAAATAATCCAGTCAAAAAATGGCAGAAGAGCTAAAAAAGAAACTTCTCTGAAGAAGAAATGTAAACGGCCAACAGGCATATGAAAAAATATTCCACATCACTTGTAATCAGGGAAATGCAAATCAAAACTACAATGAGATACCATCTCACACCAGTGAGAATGGCACATATTAAAAAAACTAGCAACAACAAATGTTGGTGAGGTTGTGGAGAAAAAGGAACTCTCCTACACTGCTGGTGGGAGTGCAAACTGGTCCAACCACTATGGAGAGCTGTGTGGAGATTTCTTGACCTACTAAACATAGAGCTTCCATATGATCCAGCAATTCCACTCCCAGGTATTTACCAAAATGACACAGAAACAGTAATTCCAAAGGGCACCTGCACCCCTATGTTTATAGCAGCACTATTTACAATAGCTAAGCTGTGGAAGCAACCCAAATGCCCAAAAATAGATGACTGGATCAAGAAGATGTGGTACATATACACAATGGAATATTACTCAGCAATCAAAAAAGATAAACACATGCAGTTTGCAGCAACATGTATGGAGCTAGAAGGGATCGTGCTCAGTGAAATAAGTCAGAAAGAAAAAGAAAAATACCGGATGGTCTCACTCATAGCAGGAATTTAGAAAACCTAAATAAGAGACCAGGAAAAAGTCTAATCAATACAAAGTAAAAATCAAAATCACAAACAACTATAAAGCAGAGACACATGGGGGTGGGGGTGGGCAGGGAAAGGAAGGACTAGTGTCAAAATAAGGGAAGAGGTGCAACTGTATGGGGAATATAACCAAAATGAAAATGCATACATTATGCAAAGATGAAAAAAGATGTAAGAATTATATAAAATAAAATATTTAAATAAAAAAAAATAGGGCCTCCCCTGGGGGCGCAGCAGTTGAGCGCTGGGTTGAGAAGCTGCCCGCAGCTACCGGAGTACTGGTTCAATCCCCAGCCACCAGCGAGGGTGCCACATGGCATGCAGACCTCTCCTGCCACCTGCTGCTCCCCTCAGCAGAGTATTTCATCAGTCTGCCTGCTCTGCTCTCCACTCTGACTCTGGTGAATTCTCTCACCCTCCGTGCTTCTGACTGTACCCAGTGCTTGTATAAATAAATAAATCTTTTAAAAAAATAAATTAAATAAATAAAATTACAGAAAACTAAAAAAAAAAAGGGCAGAAGAGCTAAAAAGAAACTTCTCCAAAGAGGAAATACAAATGGCCACCAGGCATATGAAAAAATGTTCAACATCATTTGCAATCAGGGAAATGCAAATCAAAACTACAATGAGATACCATCTCACACCAGTGAGAATGGCACATATTAAAAAAACTAGCAACAACAAATGTTGGCGAGGTTGTGGAGAAAAAGGAACTCTCCTGCACTGCTGGTGGGAATGCAAACTGGTCCAACCACTATGGAAAGCTGTGTGGAGATTTCTCGACCTACTAAAGATAGAGCTTCCATATGACCCAGCAATTCCACTCCTAGGTATTTACCCAAAGGACGCAGAAACATCAATTCCAAAGAGCACCTGCACCCCTATGTTTATAGCAGCACTGTTTACAATAGCTAAGCTTTGAAAACAACCCAAATGCCCAAAAATAGATGATGGATCAAGAAGATGTGGTACATATATACCATGGAATATTACTCAGCATTCAAAAAAGATAAACACATGCAATTTGCAGCAACATGGATGGCGCTGGAAGGGATCATGCTCAGCGAAATAAGCCAGAAAGAAAAAGAAAAATACCGGATGGTCTCACTCATAGCAGGAATCTAGAAAATCTAAATAAGGGACCAGGAAAAAGAATAACTATAAGAAAGAAAAAATCAAAATCAGCAAACAGCTATGAACCAGAGACACACTATGGGGGGTGAGGGGGAGGGGAAAGGAGGGATTGGGGTCAAAATAAGGGGGTTACAATTGTACGGGGAATATAAAAATAAAATTTAAAAAAAAGACCAGAAACAAGTGCTGATGAGGACATGATGAAAAGGCAACCCTCTTACAATACCAGTGAGAATGCAAGCTGGTCCAGCTCTATTGAAAGCAGTATGGTGGTGCCTAAAAACATTAAAAATGGATCTGCCATATGATCCAGTAATTCCATTCCTAGGCATCTACTCAAAAAATTCAAAAACACTTATTTGAAAGGAAACACAGTCCCGTGTTTATTGCAATACTATTTACTATAGCTAAATTATGGAAACAATTAAACAAGTAAATTATGAACAGGCAAGTGAATCAAGAAGATGGGGTATACATACACAATGGAGCATTATTCAGCAATCAAAAAAGAAACTTATGCCATTTGTGGCAATAGGAAGGGGCTCAAAGGGGTAATGCTAAGTGAAATAAGTCAGAAAGAGAAATACCAGACAATGTCACTAAAATGTGCAATATAAAGTAATAAAATAATAGTCAGATAAAGACAGGCTGAAAAACTCACCCTTGATAGCTGACTACAGAACTAAAGGGAGGGAGGGAAAGGCTAAGAAGAAAGAGGGAAGGAAGCACAGTGATCTATGGTGGTGGACTATGGGTGAGTTGGTGACGGGTGCACTATGGTGGTAATAACTGATGGGGGTACCCCAATATAACTACCTCAGTTAAAATAAATATTTTATTTTTAAAAGGAATCCTACTGTTAATTGAGCCTACCTGAGGAGGTTTGGGCAGAGTAAAGTAGGGAGGGGGCCCAATGGACTATTGCAGAGGATTATTGTTGCTTTGGTGGTAGGTGTGGTGTGGTAAAATATGTATAGAGGATATGAACCTGTACCCCTAAATCATACATTACCTCAATAAAAATTAATCCAATTTAAAAATAAAAGTTTAATGTTTAAAAACATTTGAATATTTATTTAACCTCATTACATCTATTTAGGATTTGTTATTGTTGCTTTTGTTGATGGTGTTTATTTCCCCTCACCTGTTAAGTACATTACTCAATCTCCTGGAATTATAGTAAGAACTAATTTGTTCATTTAATAATTATTTATAGAATACATGATATTTGCCAGACACTTTTCTAGATACCAAGATATTAGCAGTAACAAACCCCCCTCATAAATTTATGCTAGTGAGGAGAAATAGACAAACATAACAAATAAAATATATACTATGCCAGTTGATGACAAGTGACAAACAGCAGGTAATGAGGCTAGGTATCACTAGGTATGTGTGCATGTGTGCACCTGTGTACATGGCAGGGTGGGGGTGAGTGGGGGTTTTTTTG